TTCTCCCTTGGACTATCACAATGACCACTTCTCTAGTGTTCCTGCTTCCTTCCCTCCCTACGCCCTCCCTCATCTCATCATGTCAGATAGAGTGACTTTTTGGTAAGTCAGATCACGTCTTTCCCCTTTTCAATACCTTCAGTCTCACTAAAAATAAAAGCTAAAATCCAAACTATACCTCACACGACCTTACATGATTGGTTTTCCATTACTTCTCCGAATTCTCCCACCACTCTATCTCTTGTTCAGTTGGCCATTCTGGCCTTGTTAATCTTTTTTAGACACATCTTAAAGTCTTTGCACTTGCTATTATCTTTATGTGGAATACTCTTCCCAAATATTTGCATGGTTAACTCTCTCTTTTAATTCAGGGTGGGTAACTCAAGACATAAAATGGAATTGTCAAAATTTGAAAGTCTTGCAAGAATGAAAAAACCTACAGCTTCTAAGATTCCAAAGAGCAAGAGATGAGCAATTAGACAAGAAAAAGAAATAAAAGGCATCGAAATTTGACAGGAAGAAGTAAAATTATCTCTGTTTCCAGATGACATGATCCTACATGGAAAAACCCCAAAGATTCCACAAAAAACTGTTAGAACTAATAAATTAGTTTGGTAAAGCTGCAGGATACAGAGTCAACATACACAAATTGGTTGCATTTCTATACAGAAATAATGACCTAACTGAAAAAGATATCAATAAAAAAATCCCATTTATGGTAACATGAAGAAAAAATATGTACCTAGGAATAAATTTAATCAAGGTGATGAAAGATCTGTACAGTGAAAACTATAAGTCACTGATGAAAAAAATTGAAGAAGACAAAAATAAATGGAAAGATATTGCATGTTCATGAATGGAAAGAATTAATATTGTTAAAATGTCAACAGGACCCAAAACAATATACAGACTCAGTGCAATCCCTATCAAAATCCAAAGGGCATTCTTCACAGAAATAGAAAAAAAAATCCTAATATTTGTACAGAATCATAACAGACCCTGAATGGCTAAAACAATTCTGAGAAAGAGAAACAAAGTTTAAAGCATAATACTTCCTGATTTAAAATTATATTACAATGCTATGGTAAGCAAAACTATATGGTACTGGCATAAAAATAGACAGACCAATGGGACAGAATAGAAAGCCAAAAAACAAACCCAAATTTATATGATTAACTAATTTTCAACAAGGGCACCAAGAAAAAAGGATAGTTACTTCAATAAATGGTGCTGAGAAAACTGAAATTCCACACACAAAAGAATGAAAACAGATCTTTATCTTATACTATACACAAGAATTAACCAAAAATGGATAATAGACCTAAATATAAGGCCAGGAACTATAAAACTCCTAAAAGAGAACATAAGGTAAATCTCCCAGATATAGGCCTGGGCAATGATTTTTTGGATATTACAGCAAAAACTCAGGCCACAAAAATAAATAAACAGGACTACATCAAGCCAAAAAGCTTCTGCACAGCAAAGCAAACAATCAACAAAATGAAATGACAGACTATGAATTGGGTAAAAAAAAAATTTGCAAACCATATATCTGATAAGGAGTTAATATCCAGAATTTATAAGAAACTCATGCAACTTGATAGTGGAAAAACAACCTGACTAAAAAATGGGCAAAAGACCTGGATAGACATTTCTCTAGCTAAGATGTAAAACTGGCCAACAGGTATATGAAAATGTGCTCAGAATCATTAATCATCAGGGAAATGCAAATAAAAACCACTATGAGATACCACCTCACACCCCTTAGGATAGCTTTTATCAAAAAGTCAAAAGATAACAAATGTACACCGTTGGTGGGAATGTAGATTGGTACAACCATTATGGAAAACAGCATGAAGGTTTCTCAAGAAATTAAAAATAGAACTGCCATACGAGACAGCAATCCCTTTTCTGGGCATGTACCTAGAGGAAATGAAATCACCACCTTGTTAAGATATCTGCACTTCCATGTTCATTGCAGCATTATTCATAATAGTCAAGATATGGAAACAACCCAAATGTCCATCAATGGACAAATGGATAAAAATTTGTGATACTTATACATGTGATGACATACTGTTTTGCCCTAAAAAAGAACAAGATCTTGCCACTTGTCACAATATGGATAAGCCTGGAGGACATTATGCTAGGTGAAATAAGCCAGACACAGAAAGAAAAATATTGAATGATCTCATTTATATGTGGAATCTAAAAAAAATTCCAAATGTACAGAGATAGAGAATAAAACAGTGTTTATCAGGGACAGGACAAGGTGGAAGAAATGGGGAGATGTAGGTCAGCAGATACAAGGTAGCAAACATGTAGAATAAAAATGTCTAGACATCTAATGTATAATATGAGGACTATAGGTGGTAAAATTGGACTGTGTATAACTCATGCTAAATGAGTAGATTTTAGCTGTTCTTGCCATAAAAACAAAAAAAGGGGTAACTGTGTGTGATGATAGATAGGTTAATTTTCTTTGCCATAGTAACTTTTTACTCTCTATGTGTACCCCCTAACATCATGTTGTATACCTTAAATATACACGATAAAATTTATTTTAAAAAACAAAGAGTGAGAGATGAGATTTTAAAAAAGGCCT